GTTTTATGAATCAATTAATGGTCTATACTTCTGGTATATGGTTTTATGAATCAATTAATGGTCTTTACTTCTGCTATATGGTGTTATGAATTAGTTAATGATCTCTACTTCTGCTATATGTTGTTATGAATCAATTAATGGTCTATACTTCTGCTATATGGTGTTATGAATCAATTAATGGTCTCCACTTCTACTATATAGTATTATGAATCAATTAATGGTCTCTACATTTTCTATATGGTGTTATGAATCAATCAGTGGTCTTTACTTCTGCTATGTGGTGTTGTGAATTAGTTAATGATCTCCACTTCTGCTATGTGGTGTTTTGAATCAATTAATGGTCTTTACTTCTGCTATGTGGTGTTTTGAATCAATTAATGGTCTTTACTTCTGCTATGTGGTGTTTTGAATCAATCAGTGGTCTCTACTTCTGCTATATGGTGTTATGAATCAATTAATGGTCTTCACTTCTGCTATACGGTATTATGAATCAATCAGTGGTCTTTACTTCTGCTATGTAGTGTTTTGAATCAATTAATGGTCTTTACTTCTGCTACGTGGTGTTTTGAATCAATTAATGGTCTTTACTTCTGCTATGTGGTGTTTTGAATCAATTAATGGTCTTTACTTCTGCTATGTGGTGTTTTGAATCAATTAATGGTATATACTTCTGCTATGTGGTGTTTTGAATCAATTTACTTCTTCTATATGATGTTACTTATATATTTTGAGATCTGTACAAAGAAGTATCAAGAGAAAGTGCAAACGTGTTTCTATAATACATTAAATTAAAATATGTATGAGAACCTTTACCGAATTGTTTATTTGTTACAAGTGCTTGATGACACATTTCTGAAACACAATTTAGAAGGCAATAATATTTTTTTAAAATATTGTTTTAATAACAGAGTTTTCCCCTATCTTAGCATTTCGTTTATGTGTGTTTGTATGTGCAAAAATGTTGATTTTAATTTTGACCTATATTACCACATAGTTTAGTTCTAATACAGTAAAACCATGTTCTTAAGAATTGTAAAACATAGTTATCTTTGTCATATAAATTATAAATTTAAGATACTAGTAGGGTCCAAAGGAATAATTTAAACTCACTGTTTATGTACTTACTGCTCTGCACATGAGAGGATATTACGTAAAATGTGTTTGTTTGGAATTAAGAACAAAGCTACATAATGGGCTATCTGTGCTCTGCCCACCACAGATACTGAAACCCGGTTTCTAGCGTTGTATGTTCAAAGATATACTGCTGTGCCACTGGGGGCCCTAAAAAGTGAAGCCAAATCCTTACCACTACCGTCAGAATTACTTATTTAAAAAAAAAACAAACTTAAAAAAAACAAATAAAATGAAGTTATTTTTCTCACTTAGTTAAAGGTAACTTGAAGATATGAGTTTCTAACATTAATTTTCAAATATCACCATATGTAAAGTAATAATATCAATACATCAAACTATTTGTTTTTTGTTTAGCACAAAGCTGAACAATGAACTATCTCTGGTGTGCCCACCACGGGTATCGAAATCGAAGTTTTAGACCCGTAAGCCTGCAGACTTACCTCTAAGCCACTGGTACAAATAACTTTGAAGGACCTTAATGTGTCACATGGTTATTTTAAATCATTTTATACATTGATAATATTTATAGATTTTTTAATGTAAAGAGATAAATATAACCTAATGAGTAATTATATATATATATAGTGTTAGAATGCTGTTTATTAAAACTGGAAGTGAATTCCCAAAAAGTCATTTTGGTTATGGAAAATAAATATCAATCAAGTTTCAATTATCTCTCTGGAGAGTACGTATTAGCGAAAGCATAGAAATTAGGTTTATATGTAACTAAATCCTAAAGTGATGATACAGGTTATCAATATTATGGTGCTATTTTAGAATCCTATTATAAAATATGGCCATGATCTACAGTGATGCCTTTGGTATCTAAATATCGCAGTATAAGTTCAATATATATAGAATATATAACATGGAAATAATTTTGTACATTTTACAGTCTTAGCACACAACATTAGGTCTCAACACGATCAGCATAAGTTACACAGTGATGCTTATCCAAGTCTCGACATGATCAGCATGATGTTATTTAGAATGTAAAGTAAGATACATTTCGATATTTATTTGGAGCTTATTATGCTCATAAAAATAGCATCTCCAGATAGGTTTTAATTTTAGTTTTTTCTAAACCAAGACAATTCATCTGTTAGGGAGTGAAAGTTGAAAAAAGCATGTTTGCATATTATGCGATATTTAGATAAAGCCAAGTTAAAAATATAAAAGTTGTTTATCAAACTTTCGTCTTATTTATAAAGAAACTTTATGCTGCTTCCAGAGTTGAATATTAACTAGTCTGTTTCGTCTTTGTATTCTTAACAATACAAAAATAATTGTTTCTCTCCAACCTCTTTGAGTTGTGGTCTGATTTTGTATTCCTATCCTATGCAAATAACATGAGAATTGGCATGGTGTAATGGTTAGCGTGGTGGACTGCGGATCAAAAGGTCCAAGGTTCGATCTGCTACATGCTTGACACTTGTCAATAGTTTGTTGTTGTTTGTAATTAAGCACAAAGCTACACAATGAGCTATTTGTGCTCTGCCCACCACGGATATCGAAACCCGGATTCTGGCGTTGTAAGTCCGCAGACATACCGCTGTACCACTGGCGGGCATCAATAGTTTGAGCCGTGGGAATGTCATTTCTCTGACAGTCGGTGCTGCTAACTAGTTGCCCTCCTTCCCCCTCCGCTCTGGCTAGCTATGCCCGGACCCCTTGAGATAACTGTCCTGATTGTTTGGCTGATCTGTCCATAAAGTTAAAGATACCAAATGTCAGTAAGTGACGCTCCTTATTATAGCGCAGTTGCTGAGATTAATTACAAACGTATATATAAAGAGTGAGAGAAAGTGTGAGTATTTTTGGTTACCTGCAAGAGTGAATAGGTAGTGATTAACTGTTCGTAGCTGCGTCGTCCATCCTGAGTATAGAGTAACATAGAGAAAGAGAAGTCTTTGGGAATGAAACGGTGCCCAGCACACGAAGAACGCTATGACAACGGCAACTGAAATATTACCCCAAATAATATTAGCTTCATACCATAAATGTGTTTTATATTTATCAGATAATATTTAATGAAAGCTAATTAATTAAAATTGACATATATTCTAACATTTTTTCCATATGTACATGTATATATATATAGACACACATCATTGGAATTAAAATTAATGTTTCACACTTTTAAACCACTTACACAGAACACTACGATTATTTAGTTTGATATTATCCTTATACATTTCGAGTTTAGTGTTAGATATATAATTGTGATTGTTTTTATACATTCAGGAATATTTGTAATTGATACAAATTTAATTACAACATAATTAACTTAATTATCCTATTTTATTCATTTAAACAAAGAAAAGAGCTGGTCGTGTCTTACTTAACATGCGAACCACTACTCCACGTGATTGTATTTTTGATCTATCTCCTCGGTAGGAGGCGCTTCCTTCGGAAGTATACCTACGGAGATTTTTGGACTGGTGTAACGTCATCGCTATTCTCACATACAGTACAACAATTACTGTCATTGGGACCACAAAGAAAAGAAACGTGGAGCACAACATCAACGTCTCCCAGCTTCTGTCTGGTTTGTTGAAAGGAAAACCACACCAGGCTGACGATTCGAGTGTGATGCCTTTATCATCCGTGAGGTAATTCACGCGGGTAAAGATTCCATAGGGCGTTGCTCCAACGAAAGACAAAACCCATATTATAACAATATTTCGCATCGCTCGGGAAATCTTCGATTTGGTCTGATGACGTATAGGATGACATATTGCTATGTATCGTTCAGTACTAAACGTTACTATAGTCAGAATGGAGGCGTAGGCAGTGGTTTCGGGAACTATAGCACGAAGTTCACAAATCAAACTACCCAGTTCCCAAGGGTACTGTTGCCACATTGTGTACAGCTCTAACGGCATGGCTGAAATGACATAAAAAAATATCTATCAGTCAGTGTAAGATCAGCCAAGCTAAAGTTGATTCTCAGATGTTTTTGAAAATCACCAGGGTGAAAAAAAAACAACAACAAACAAACAGAAATATACCGACATATACAGCGCATCCCATCATCATTACACCTGATTTAATAAAAAAAATATGTTCAAATTAAAAACTATCTTCATTAATTTTATTTCGAAGACCCTCAAAGAATTGGTTCATATACGTTAAGACTAACGGTCTTAAACAACTACAGCATGAATCATGTTCACGTACTCGATTTTACGTAGCTTTTCAGGGGTGAAAGTTCAAAAAGCATTTTAACACTTTATATGGTATTGTCCACTACTCCTGTCTAGGTTAAAATTCGCCCTCAGAAGGTACCAGAATGCTACAGAAGTTACATAATTTTGTGTTTTCTGCGATCAAAAATGTTTACATCCAGTCTTTTTTTTTCTTTTCTTTTTTCTGACCCGTAATGTCAAAGAAAATATATTTCCATAGTAACATGACGATTGTGCATGTGCCTATGACCAGTGCTTTAGTGGGTTGGGGCTCAGGCCGAGCAGTAGCATGATATAATCTAAGGGTATACAAAACCTTAAACTAAAGCGACCAGATGCCATATTCCCCAAATAAACATTGGTATGATTCCTAGTAGTAGATTAAAAGGCGTTCGTTTTAACGTATTTGAGCCATTTGGCGTATTTCAAGTAATTGTATTGAGCATGATATCACTCAGATATTCTGATTTCATTTTCAGTATGCTACAACGTAACATAATATTATCCAAGTTAATGCCTGGCAATGCTACAGCAGTTAATATTGAGTAGTTAACAATGCAACTCTTGTACTGTGTCTGTCCCCTGATGGGTTAGAGATAAGTTTACGAACTTACAATGCTAAAATTCGAGGTTCGATTCCTCGCGGTGTACAGAACACAGATAGCCCAACAACAACTTATTTTGTAGTGGAGAGAGCTACAGACTGTGAAAGTTGATGTGATATCTTACGTGTCCTTGATGACTTTCAATTTCGTACTCTTGTATCTCCTCTCTCTCTCGGCCCCTCAGTGGCACAGCGGTATGTCTGCGGACTTACAACGCTAGAAACCGGGTTTCAATACCCGTGGTGGGCAGAGCACAGATAGTCCATTGTGTAGCTTTGTGCTTAACTTCAAACAAACGATCCTCTCTCTCGGTATTAAAAAAAAAACAATAGGTTTGAACCTGAACAGTAAGTAGAAGCTAACTTCCACGTCACCCAATCTTGCAAACAAATTGAGAGCAGAGTACGTAATATATTTTAATGAGTCAACATCTACTATTGGACTGAAGGATTATGAGAATATTTGTTAAGTGTTCGTTAGTATCTAAACATCACGAAAGGTTCCAATGCAAGCTTAGAATAAAGTGATCAAAACAGTCATTATTTCCTGTCACAACAAACAGACTTGGGCTGTTAAGTGTCAACTTTGCTTCGTTACATAAATCATATTTATGTTTTTTCAGTGTAACTTAGGATTGGCCATGGCATATTGGTTAGCCTGCTCGGTGGGTGCGCTATAAGAGTGACGGTCAGCTTCCACTACTCGATCTGAAAATAGCCCAATAGTTGACGATGGGTGCTGTTGATTAACTGCCTTGCCCTCAGTATATCTCTCTGCTACATAGTTACAATGTTATAAAACGTTACATTTGTAATTCCTAATTGACATTTTGTTTTACAACGCATATTGAATTTGATTAAGTAATTGAAAACCTTTATTCCACGATTCTATTAGTAATACTCGTGGTACAATCCCCTGAAGTTTGTGTGACTGAGGTTTTACTGCCCCCGTAATGTCGTTACCCTGCTATTTTTAGTAATGACAACGTTACTGAATATCTTTAAGAAAATATCTTCCAAGTAAGTGACATGGTACAAAATTTCACATGAGTAAGAACAAAGAATTATATGTGGGGTAATCTCATGACCCCCCTCCCTATCACACACACATACACTTCCACATTAACGGAAGGATTAACGCGTAAAGCCTCCTAGTGTCTAAGCGGGATGTCTTCGGAATTATAACGCTAAAGACATTGTTTCGATACTCGTGGTGACCTAATGTTTAGCTCGAGGGGAGTGATGAAGATAAACGTGAATCATTCATAAAAAGTTTAAAAATCATCAATTACAGAAGTTTATGGTGAATACATGAAACGAGTTCCGTAGAGATAGTGTCATTTCAGTATTTTAATCCTATGCAATATAGAATGTATGTGAAAATATTTTCACCCCCCCCCCCAGTGGTTTAGCAGTATGCTTGGAGGATACTAACGCTAAAACTCTGTTCCATACCTGCGTGGTCACAACACAGATAGCCCCTTCTGTAGCTTTGTGCTTAAACATAAACAAACATCATACATCAAAGACGAACTGCTCAATAGCGTTTGAAATTCTCACAAGATCCGACAATTTCTCAATTTCTTAGATAGGGAAATTAAGAGATCAGTTCTTATAGAAAAGGATAAACCAGTAATGTGTAAATACAATAGACGGCCCCATTTTATTTTAATACGTTTCTCTTAAAACATAACTTAAGTTTTACTCAATCAGTGTGCTTAAATTTATTCAACTTTCTCGTATAGGCTTTCATTTTACTCTGTAAGATATTATTTCTTTATATAACAAGAAACTTGATGTAGCACTGGCTTTTTAATAACAGGAATGAGAAAATACAAGGGAAAAATGCATTTCAAAATTCAACGCTCAGTGTCAGCGTTGGTACGCCCCGTTCCTAAAGTCACTTTTTGGGATCATTGACATCCGGTTTGTTGCTTCAACGGCCCGAAGAAGCATTGAGATTGAAAATAATAATAAAGCAGCTTCTATGGGGGACGCGACACTTGCGATAGGTGACTGAAAATTTACTGTAAATGTGGATACAGCAACTCTTTTAAAAAAATCATTGCCAAAACGCAACATTGAAATAGAAAGAAAATTTATTTTATCTAGCAACGTTTCGAGCAACCACTCTTCATCAGGCTTAATATGAAAATGAAATCAAGCCTGTCGGTGACTGGTATCTTTGAATTTTGGAATGCAGTTATGTATGATCCTGATGAAGGCTAAAGCCGAAACGTTGAGCAATAACAAAACTTTAAACTATTATCTGGAGTTCACCATCGTTTCATTTATTCTGAATTATACTTGTATTAAGTCATCTTGCCGTTACATTTATCAAAATTCCCTTTAGGTTTAAATATTATATATTTTTATATGCTAATATGATTTTGATACAGTTGTACAAAAGTAAATTTATATTCATGAGATATTTTGATAACAAAATCTAAACTTGCATTTAAAAACAGAATCGTAAACCGAATATTTGTGTTCATGTTAACCAGTTATAACGAAACTGTAGAACAAACCTAGACGTTTATTTTAAAAACAGAATCGTAAACCGAATATGTTTGTTCATGTTAAGCAGTTATAAAGAAACTGTAGAACAAACCTAGACGTTTATTTTAAAAACATAATCGTAAACCGAATATGTTTGTTCATGTTAACGAGTTATAAAGAAACTGTAGAACAAACCTAAACGTTTATTTTAAAAACAGAATCGTAAAGCGAATATGTTTGTTCATGTTAAGCAGTTATAAAGAAACTGTAGAACAAACCTTGACGTACATTTTAAAACATGAGTTCTCTGAAGGTGAGAATTAGGGAAGGTAATGAACAACTGATAACCTAGTATAACGGACAACGAGACAACAATGATATTCGATTGAGCATATGCAGCATTCACGGTAAAATGGATTAGTTTTCTTCTTATAAGTGAAGTTTATGGAATAAAAAAAGGAAAGGATTACTAGTGGATTTGTTGGATTATTTTTTGTAACTAATATCCTAATAATTGAATATACATAAATATTATGTACAGGATAAATAAATAATTTTTTTCGCACTCGCATAAACTTTTTCCATGGCTACTCAGTAGACACTGGTAATAGTGAAGGAGTTAGTTTTGGACCACTGCTTAATAATCGTAGGTTAGCAACGAATCACAGCATAGTAAACGTATTTTAGCAACGAACCACAGCATAGTAAACATAGGCTAACAACGGAGAAGTACATAGTAAGCATAGGTTAGCAACGGACTATACATTGTTCTTTTTTTTTTCCAGAAAATCGGTAAAAGTTTTAAGCTATAAAAACATTAGTTGGTAAAGCATGACAGTTAACAGTATTACTCTCACAGCAAGTGACTAGTTATTTGTGCTGAATAAGCCATGACTACATTTGTTATGATGAATTTATCGTATGTCTAAATAAAGTTTAACAATCCCTTGTTTAAATTAGTCCTAATGGTTAACGTACCGAACTTCTGATCCAAAGATTCACGGTCCGCGTTCCGTTTTCTGAAAAAAGAATCCGATCTGCACTTTAGAGACATGAGTGCGTTATTAGTAGTTTGATCAATTACATTAGCCCAAGAGTTGGCGGTGAGCGTTGTTGACTAGCTGCCTTCGTTCTAGTCTATTAATTCAAAATTAGAGACGGCTAGTGCACATAGCCCTTGTGTAGCTTTGCGCGAATAGACGAAGCAAACCAAACGAAACTTAAGGTACTCTGAAATACCAAACTACAATTTAAGCTTAATTACACTGAAAGCCCATAATATATATATATATATGTGTGTGTGTGTCTGTGTGTATGTGTGTCTGTGTGTGTATGTGTCTGTATGTGTTGTGTGTGTGTCTGTATGTCTGTATGTGTGTATGTATGTGTGTGTGTCTGTGTGTATGTGTATGTATGTGTTTGTCTGTGTGTCTGTATGTGTGTGTGTATGTGTGTGTCTGTATGTGTGTGTCTGTATGTGTGTGTGTGTGTCTGTGTGTGTGTATATGTGTGTGTGTCTCTGTGTCTCTGTGTGTGTGTGTGTGTAAGCCACTGAGATTGAACAAACTTTCTTATTAGATAGCAAATAAAAAAGAC